GCCGCCCGTGCTGGGTCCGCCGAGAGCTTGAAGTTCCGCCGGGAAGAAATGAAGAAAGCAGCCGCACCGAGTGAAATTTTTTTTTTTTTTTTCCCTTTGTTGGCCTTTTTTTTAAACAATAAGGCCAATGAATTGGGTTAATTGGCAATCCATTAGCCACAAACAAGATTCCAAATCTCCAATTCCAAAATTGAAACCCAAACCGTAGAGGAGGGAGACGACCGTAAGCAACCGTATGGAGTCTAGTTATCAAGTCTTCTTCATCAGGAGTGATATTTCCTCTCTTAATACCAGGCCTCAAATAGTTCATCCATCTCAATCTGCAACTCTTTCCACATCTCAACAGCCCTTTAAAATTTTGAACATTAATAATAAGAAAAAGTGAAACGAAAATAGGAATAGTATCGACCCAGAAAGAGAGTGGATGAATTTCAAGAAGATACTTTACCAGCTTTCTTGGGGAGAGATCTCCATTGGCCTTCACCATGTTCTTGAATGTAATCTGTTAGCAAAGTGTCTTCTTTAGTTGACCATGGCCCTCTCCTCAACCCCACTTTAGAGCAACAAGGGGATCTTCAAATTTTCACCTCCCTTTCTGTTCGAGAGAGAGAGAGAGAGAGGGGATAGATACCACAGCAACTCACAAATTGATGCCTTTATAAGCCAAGAGAACGGTCAAATTCTCTAATTATTGAGAGTATTTCTGACCTCCACCGACTAGGCCAGATAAAAACTTTTACATGGCAAAATAACCTTAATTCTAATTATCTGAAATGATCATAAATTCAAATAACCGCAACTAAAGTTCTCTTACCTCATTAAGAGTAAGGAATTTTTATCCTTCCAACTGAGGACGGGAGATCAATTCTATTATTAAGAGTTGTTTGGCAAACTTTTATCGAATTTTGATAAAAGTCCATTTAAAGTGTTATTAAAAAGTTAATAAAAGTTATTGATATTATAAAATATATGGTTAAAATTAAAGTTTAACTAATTTAAAAATTGATAAAATCGTAGTCTATTAGTCTTTGAAAATTTAGAACCATTTCACAAATAACCATTCAACAAACATATAATTTGCCGCGTTGCCATTAATTGTTACGATGAACTAAACGATGTTAATCCACGTGGTCAAACTCAATTAATACAACTAATAAAATGAGTATGGGAGAAAATTTCCAAATCCATCTTCTAGCTAATACTTAATAACTAAATATTAATAAAAGATTTCGCTCTTACGATCGCTAATTGTCGACGTTGACCAGTCAACGTCCGCCCGGGCTGAGCTTCAATGCTGGGTCCGCCACTGATTGTGTCAACATATTCAATTGCATTCGTCACTATCTAACACAAACGTCACCACGACATTGCCCAATAAAATTATAATTTTTTTTTTTTATAAAACAATGTGGTTATTCCAAGAATACGAAACAAGAAATTGAA